CACTAGGCTACACCCACCCACCCCATCCCAAACCCCAATCCCCGGCACCAGGGTTGTATGGCAAAGACCGGTCCACTCATCATATGTACATTGGATATGAGTGGGATATCCACCCCGTCATGTTGTGACAGTGGGCTACCACTCCACACCCAGCATTCGCTTGACCTTGTAGTTTGAGAAAATACTTCCTCAACCAGCACGGTCGCCATGGAAACCAAAATGAACTCAAATAGTTGTCCTGCTAGCCACCATACTGAGACACAACTGTTTGGTGTTTGTTCACACGGGCCCTGTGGTTGCTGGAGGGTTGTCAAGGCAACTGTTGAACGATATCTCCCGTTGTACCACCAGTCAGCTTGAGCTCTTGATGTTAGCTCGAGTAGGAAGGACTTTAAAGTATTTTACGTGCGGCCATGTAACACCACGCTGATGTTATTTCTCATCGGATATGAGATGTTTATCTCACTGAGGGATGGATTGATGAAACTCTCTTGACATGAGGAACTAACTCAGCTGGGAAGGCTGTAGATTGGTAAATATTAACTTCATGACACAACGTTGTCGCAACGTTAGTATTACGTCATTACAACGTTATTTGACAACGTCACAACAACGTTCCCATTTCGCCTACAGTCTTAAAACAACAATTCATGGTCTGGTGACTGTTATTTCATGCATGAGCAATACGTTTACCCCTTCAGATATAAATGGAATCCCCGTAGTTTTCCATTAATTTGATTAGTAGCACATGTAGACAACATGGCTTTTTGCATTAAAAAAAAAAATTGTTCTTCTTTCATATTTTTTATTCACAGCAAATCATAGTACAATATAATACAATAATGAAAAATAACACTGGCTGTTAACTAGTACACTGTACTTGAGTTCATGGAACCAGGAACTGAATAGGTGATCTTCTTCCACTTTTAAGTTGTTGTCTCAGTCGGTGGAGACGCTGGTCAAGATCTCTGTAAGCTCGTGAGCGTGGCCGAGTTGTTGCACCATGGTCAATCTGAAGGCGAGTGATCTTGTTGGTGGATTCAGTGTTCTTGATAGCCGGTTTGAATTCAGGAATGTTCGGATGGTGTTTTCCCACAAGATTTTTCAGACCACTATAGTGCTGCATCTTCCTTTCCATCCCTGGATCACACACTTCCAGTGTGTAGCTAGCTGACGCTCCACATCCAGGCGGTATATGTGACCTGCTTGTAACACTTGAATTCCTCCCCTCGGTGACCTGACAAAATCTGCTTGCTGGAGATTAGCCATTTTCGATGACTTTCTGGCCTTTTGACTTACCCATTTTATACATGAGTATGACATCATCCTACCTCATTTTTTAACAAAGTAATGAGTAACTTTGATCTTTTAATCTTATATTAAATAGCTAATTAAAACTATGTACACAAACTGTTGTAAGTATGTCACTGCTACTTTTGATCTTCATAGCCGCGATCCTTAAGCCAATTGCTTTATATAAACACTGGTTATAAGATGACTCCATTTAAAGACAACATGATATACTTATCTTTTTACTCATACATTGTGAAACTGACATTCCTTAATTCCACTAAGTCAAGTCCATTTTCTCAATAGGGGTGCATTTTCTATTCCCTATTCGCCTAGATGTTTATTGTATGCGAAATGGGATGTAGGCGAAATGGGACTCAACCTCAGGCCGTGACGAGCCAACGCTTTAACCACTAGGCTACCCCACCGACCCCCGACTCACAGTTAGCAAAGTGAGCGTCACCTGTAACTCCACGACAATGGCGCGGTGGTGCGGTTTTAATCAGAGCGTGGTGGTTGTGATTTGATTACCTATGATTGACCATCCAGAATCGAGGAATTTCGAGTTTTAACATGGAATGTACACTCAAGAACAGCGTTTTACTATTTACAAGCTGACAAAAAGTAGTAAGAATCATGTTGGAAAAAACATTAAATCAAACCAGTTTTTACCTCCAGCCACTGAGGTTTGACCGTTTATTGATTCTTGTTGTGTGGTGATACGGAAGCTCCCTAGGGTGGGACTTGTATTAGGGAGACAACCACTCGCGGTAGACTGACTTCTCTTTTGTGAAGACTTGTTAAATATTTGGGCTAATTGATTTCAATTTTCTTCACAGTTAGAGGGCGGTAGGGTAGCCTAATGGTCAGAGCGTCCGCTCGTCAAGTTGAGGACCCGAGTTCGATTCCCCACATGGGTATAATGGTTGTGTGAAGCCCATTTCTGGTGTCCCCGGCGTGACATTGCTGGAATTATTGCTAAAGGCGGCGTAAAATCATACTTACTCACTCACTTCACAGCTTGCATCGTTAGTAAGAAAACTGCTTGAAGATGACGTGAAGATGATATATAGATGCCCCATTTCAGTCTGTGTGTAGACGCAGTGAAAGGAGTGAGAGAGTATAGTTTTACGCCGCACAGTGCTGCTGCTGCAGATGCCATACATGTTCTACTTTGGTCAAAACCACGAGCTCAGGTATGGTTGAGACGAACCAAAAAACATAATCATTCGGGATTCGAACTCACTATCGTATTTTCCACACATCGAGTGACGGCACCTCACCCCAGAAGTACGGAAGTAATTGAAGAGACACGGCGTTTGGCCACTTAGCTGCGTCCGTATTTGACTTTATTTCAAAATTGTCTTTATGATCAGGGATTACAGTATATTAAAGATAAATAAAATATATTGTTTTAATCTAAGGGGCATAACTCTATTTATCCCTGCGCCAACTGCGCGCCAGAGCATGACTACATGCACATTGATCGCCGTAACTTCCTTGTCGAGATGACGATGTTGTTTATGACATGCACGGAAGTTGCAGGACGGAAGTACCATACTGTAAGTACTAGGTATCTGTCTTAGAGTATTAATCTGTTTCTTATACCCTGTAGATTATTCAAACCCCGGCAAGGAGACGGAGGGGCGACAGTGATATGTCAAACCCGGGAAGGAGACGGACGGGCGACAGTGATATGTCAAACCCCGGAAGGGAGACGGACGGGGCGACAGTGATATGTCAAACCCCGGGAAGGAGACGGACGGGGCGACAGTGATACTAGTATGTCAAACTTAGCCGGGTCACTGTAAACTTTACTGGACTGTCGAACTTGTCACTGTGGGGAATCCCCTCGAAATGAGAAACCGAAAGAATGTGGTGTTATGTCCTAGGTGTTATGCCCGACGTGTTTCGTCCTAGGTGTTATGCCCGGAGGTATTATGTCCTAGGTGTTATGCCCGAGGTGTTTCGTCCTAGGTGTTATGCACGAGGTGTTTCGTCCCGAGGTGTTATGCACGAGTGTGTTTCGTCCCAGGTGTTATGCCCGAGGTGTTTATGTCCTAGGGGTGTTATGCCCGAAGTGATTCGTCCTATGTGTTATGCCAGAGGTGTTTCGTCCCATGTGTTATGCCCGAGGGTGTTATATCCTAGGTGTTGTTGCCCGTCGGGGCGTTATATGTCCCATGTGTTATGCCCGAGGGTGTTGCCGTCCTAGGTGTTATGCACGAGGGTGTTTATGTCCCAGGTGTTATGCCCGAGGTGTTTCGTCCTAGGTGTTATGCCCGAAGTGTTTATGTCCCATGTGTTATATGCCGAGGTGTTATGTCTTAGGTGTTATGCCGGAGGTGTTATATGTCGGAGGTGTATATCCGAGGGTGTTATGCCGGTTCTATTATGCCCTAGATGTTATATGTCGGGGGTGTTATGTCGGAGGTGTTTTAGTTGTTATGTCTTAGGTGTTCTGTCGAGAGGTGTTATGTCGGGGTGTATATGTCGGAGGTGCTATGCCGGAGGTGTTATGTCGGGGGTGTTATGTCGGAGGTGTTATATGTCGATGTGATCCAGGGCATAACTAAGTGGAAGATGGAATATTGAGTCTGGAGAGTGAGTGAGTGAGCTGGCTTTTACCCCTCTGTTAACAATATTCCAGCAATATCACGCGAGGTACACCGGAAATGGACTTCACACATTGTACCCATGTGGACAGTAAGAGAGAACCTCGTCTGTGAAGGTTACTACCGGGGCCACGTAGATCTGGACGATGCGCGTCATCTTATCCCATCTTGTAGCTGATTCTACACAGTTTGTTCAAGACATGTTTTCTTCATGCTTCTTTTCAGAAGGGACGACGGGGCTCTAGTTCAGTAGGGCAGTGTTGCTCCAAGGTCTAGTTCAATGGGGCAGTGTTGTTCCAAGGTCCATATTGACAGGCTCAACGTGGCCGGATACGTCCATGGCGGAGTGGGCCACGACAACACCGCCGACACCATCACCGGCGGAATAGCAAACGAGGGACAGCTGAACATCCAGACAATGGTAGTGTTACAGTGAAGATAGGATGTGATGGCAAGGGAATCATAGATAGTATACCACGTGTTTCTACTGACATTGGTTAAAAAGGAAACATACCACGTGATTCTGCTGACATGGGAAACACACCACATGATTCTACTGAGATGGGAAACATACCACGTGACTCTACTGACATGGGAAACATACCACGTGACTCTACTGACATGGGAACACACCATGTAAATCTACTGACATTGGAAATATAGGAAACATACCACGTGATTCTACTGACATGGGAAACATACCACGTGATTCTACTAACATGGGAAACACACCACATGATTCTACTGAGATGGGAAACATACCACGTGACTCTACTGACATGGGAAACATACCACGTGACTCTACTGACATGGGAAACACACCATGTAAATCTACTGACATTGGAAATAAAGGAAACATACCACGTGACTCTACTGACATTGGAAACACACCATGTGACTCTACTGACATGGGAAACGAAAGCACGAGACATACATCAGGTGACCGGGAACATCAGGTGTCAGCTAAGGGCATTAGACACCCGAACGCCCAAACGCCAGAAGACAGCTGGACCCTAAACTCAACCATGCAAGCTCCCGTGGGGAGAGGGAGTGTCATTCCATGATATAGACATGCTCAACCTCGAGGTGGTACGTGTGGCTGGTGATGACAAGAGAGTGCATTGTCTCCCCTTGGCGGATATAGTTGACATCAACATGAGTGACCGGATCGGCAAAACGCCGCTGATTGTTGCAGCATGGAAGGGTCGCCAGGATGTCTTTGGCTTCCTGGTTGGTAGAGGAGCTGATGAGTCGGTCACAGACGCCTATTCCAACAACATCCTTCACTGGGCGTGTCACGGAGGTGATGTGGGATGGTGCAGTATCTCGTCACTGAACGTCTTGTTGATATAGACAGCAGGGGAAGGACAGGTACACGCCCGTCATGATGGCGGCAGAACGCGGACACAAGGATGTGGTCACCTTGCTGGTGCAGGCAGGATGTAACATGTCGCATGTGACCAATGGCGGGAACAATATCCTGCATGTTACCTGCGCTTGTGGGGATATAACCACTGTTAAATATATCCTGTCCAAGAATAGTGTCAACATCAACAGCAGCGGATGAACGAGAGGACAGCGGCAATGATTGCCGCCTTGAGGGGACATAGAGCTGTGTTTGAACGTCTTGTAAGCGAAGGTTGCGACTTGTCGCCTGTAACCCACAACAACAACAACATCCTTCACGAGGCGCGTGTGTAGGTTGAGACGTGGGTATTGTCAACTACATTGTCTCCACAGATATTGTTGATATCAACAGTAGAGGTAAGTATGACAGGACGCCAGTGATGGTTGCCGCCGAGTTTGGACATATTGACGTCCTCGAGCTGCTGGTGAGGGAAGGAGGTGACGTGAATCTCCGGTCTGATGCAGGCAATACCATCCTCCATGCAGCGTGTCTTGGAGGGTACGTCAAGGTGGTGTCACACGTCCTCACGACGACACACGTCGATATCAACGCCCAGGGTATTAGGGGCGGACCCTTTGATGTTAGCGGCATGGAAGGGGCACCAAGATGTGTTTGAACTTCTTGTGAGTGCGGGAAGTGACGTGTCTCTCGTTGACGATGGCGGTAACAATATTCTTCATGTGGCTTGCCGTGGAGGACATGTTGAGTTGGTGACGTATCTCCTGTCGAAAAAATGTTGCTGACATTGACGCGACCGACAAACAAGGGTCTACAGCCATTATGATAGCGACAGAGAAAAAAAAAACACAAAGCTGTTGTGGATGTCCTTCGTCGAAGGTCAAACTGCCAAGTGATTAGACAGTGCTAGGAATGACGTACATGTAATACATTATTCTTTCATGAGGTAAGGCACCCATGAAGGTCCGGGTAAGAAGTGGTTCTCAGCAACCCAAGTTTGTAAAGGGCGACTAACGGGATCGGGTGGTCAGGCTCGTATCCCAATTACGTAGATCAATACCCATGCTGTTGATCACTGGATTGTCTGGTCCAGGCGAGATTATTTACAGGCCGCCGGTATAAACGGGCTCTTGTTGATTGCGGCGTTAAACAACAAACAACTCCATTGTGAAGACAGCCATTGCTTTTGTTAAAAAGCATCCTTAAGTAAGTGAAACAAATACGGCATTTAAAATGTTGCTTACCGTCGTGACACCTTTAATCTCCCATTGATGCTTCACCGTCGTGACACCTTTAATCTTCCATTGATGCTTACCGTCGTGACACCCTTTAATCTTGTATTGATGCTTACCGTCGTGACACCTTTAATCTTCTATTGATGCTTACCGTCGTGACACCTTTAATCTTGTATTGATGCTTACCGTCGTGACACCTTTAATCTTGTATTGATGCTTACCGTCGTGACACCTTTAATCTTCCATTGATGCTTACCGTCGTGACACCTTTAATCTTGTATTGATGCTTACCGTCGTGACACCTTTTAATCTTTGTATTGATGCTTACCGTCGTGACACCCTTTAATCTTCAATGATGCTTACCGTCGTGACACCTTTTAATCTTGTATTGATGTTACCGTCGTGACACCTTTGATCTTCCATTGATGCTTACCGTCGTGACACCTTTAATCTTCCATTAATGCTTACCGTCGTGACACCTTTAATCTTCCGTTAATTCTTTTTCCGTCGTGACACCTTTAAATCTTCCATTGATGCTTACCGTCGTGACACCTTTTAATCTTGTATTGATGCTTACCGTCGTGACACCTTTAATCTTGTATTGATGCTTACCGTCGTGACACCTTTAATCTTCTATTGATGCTTTCTACCGTCGTGACACCTTTAATCTTCTATTGATGCTGCTTACCGTCGTACACCTTTTAATCTTGTATTGATGCTTACCGTCGTGACACCTTTTAATCTTGTATTGATGCTTACCGTCGTGATACACCTTTAATCTTCCATTGATGCTTACCGTCGTGACACCTTTAATCTTCCGGTGATGCTTACCGTCTACGACGTCTTTAATCTTCCATTGATGCTACCAGCTGGCGACACACCTTTAATCTTGTATTGATGCTTACCGGTCGTGACACCTTTAATCTTGTGCATTGATTGATGCTTACCGTCGCGAGGACACCTTTAATCTGCAATGACGCTTGCTGTCGTGAGCACCTTTAATCCTTGTATTGATGCTTACCGTCGTGACACCTTTTAATCTTGCATTGATGCTTACCGTCGTTGCCAATCTTTAACTTTGTATTGATGCTTACAGTCGTGACACACCTTTAATCTTGTATTGATGCTTACCACCCGTCGTGACACCTTTAATCTTCCATTGATGCTTACCGCCGTGACACCTTTAATCTTCCATTGATGATTACCGTCGTGACACCTTTACAACCTTGCATTGATGCTTTTCACCGTCGTCCATTACACCTTTTTAATCTCTATTGATGCTTTACCGTCGTGACACCTTTAATCTTGTATTGATGCTTACCGACGTGACACTTTGATCTTCCATTGATGCTTTTACCGTCGTGACACCTTTAATCTTCCATTAACGCTCACCGTCGTGACACCTTTAATCTCTTCCGGTTAATTCTTCCGCCCGTCGTGACACCTTTTAATCTTCCATTAATGCTTACCGTCGTGACAACTTTAATCTTGGTATTGATGCTTACCGTCGTGACACCTTTAATCTTGTATTGATGCTTTACCGTCGTGACACCTTTAATCTTGTATTGATGCCACCGTCGTGACACCTTTAATCTTGTATTGATGCTTTTACCGTCGTGACACCTTTAATCTTGTATTGATGCTTCACCGTCGTAACACCCTTTAATCTTGTATTGATGCTTACCGTCGTGACACACCTTTAATCTTCCATTGATGCTTCACCGTCGTGACACCTTTAATCTTCCATTGATGCTTACCGTCGACAACACCTTTTTAATCTTGCATTGATGCTTCACGTCGTCGTGACACCTTTAATCTTCCATTGATGCTTTACCGTCGTGACACCTTTAATCTTCCATTGATGCTTACCGTCGTGACACCTTTTTAATCTTGTATTGATGCTTTACCCGTGACACCTTTAATCTTCCAGTGATGCTTACCGTCGTGACATCTTTTTAATCTTGTATTGATGCTTACCGTCGTGACACCTTTAATCTATTGATGCTTACCGTCGTGATACCCTTTAATCTTCTATTGATGCTTACCGTCGTGACACCTTTAATCTTCCATTGATGCTTACCGTCGTGACACCTTTAATCTATTGATGCTTACCGACGTGACACCTTTTAATCTTCTATTGATGCTTACCGTCGTGACACCTTTAATCTTTGTTCAGTTAGTCTAGAGGGTGTGTCATGGAGTAAGTGGGAGTGACTTGTTTACTGAGCTACAAAACATGGGCTGAGCTGTTTACGTGAGTTGTGTATCCATGATACGTGTCAGGTATGTTTGTTTCTGGAGAAGGGGAGTTCACTAACATTGCCGCTGAGTTGTCACTTAACTGGGGGAACTGGAGGTAGCAAGCCTCGTCTCTGTATGGCTCAACAATGTCCAGGAAACGTTAACGAGCTCATACTTTGGCCTCCTGCATGAACGTTTCTACAAAATGAAGTGCGTTGTAATTAAACTGAATGATGACGGCGCCTTAGCAGAACCAGCAGGTATGTATCTATGATTCCAGGCTATATAAAATGCCCTTTGGACTGGCAAATTGACGATCTTACATTCATTCTTTAATTTGGGATTCTTTAATTTATGAAGTATTTTAACGTTACTTTCAATACATTAAAACTAAACAGTCAGATCTTCTTTATACTCGTTATTGGTTGTGTTGTCAGTGAGATACCAGTCACGTGACCACAACATTGGTTGTGTTTTCAGTGTGAGATACCAGTCACATGACCACAACATCGGTTGTGTTGTCAGTGAGATACCAGTCACATGACCACAACATTGGTTGTGTTGTCAGTGAGATACCAGTCACATGACCACAACATTGGTTATCATTGATCGTACACTGAACAACATACGTGATCATACCTCGTACTTCCTGAGCATAATAGACAGTACGTGGGATTCTGAACCCACGAACAGCAGTATCCCGCCAGCTCAACCATAATACCAACTCACCTGTGTGGATCGATGATATCAACACTTGATTGTCTGGTCAAGAGTCGATTATTTACAAACATCTGCCTTGTCGAATTTTTATTACTGAGTGCCGACTTTACTCAAAATACAACAACAACAATTTCCCTGAAAATGCCATGGATTCATGCATCCCAACTATGATGCTACTTTGTTATCATTTAAACCCCTTGAAGATCTGGGTTAGAATTGATCTTCCGTAACCCATGCTTGTCGTAAGGAGGCGACTAACGAGATCGGGTGGTCAGGCTCGCTGACTTGGTTGACACATGACATCGTATCCCAATTGCGTAGATCGCGTAATTGTGTTGATCACTGGATTGTCTGGTCCAGACTCGATTATTTGCAGACCGCCGCAATACATAACTGGAATATTGCTGGGCCCGGCGTAAAACTAAACTCACCACCGTTATCCTTTAATAAATACAATGTATGCTGGATATATTACACTTGCCAAAGACGTCACCGTAACATTTGAATATTGCTTGAGTGAGGTAATTAGCAGATGCACTGTACATAACGAGACGTCGTTTTCGCCCGTTATAGGATTGATTCTCTTAGTTGTTTTCAGGTCGGGTTACGACATCCTAAGTGTTTGTTTCAACTGCATATTAACACTGTATATTATAATATGTGGCAGTCTGCCATACATACCCTTGAACAAATATATCCAAAGAAAGCCTATGCAAATCTAGAATATGTGGTAAGTCTAGATTTCCAGTTTCAGGAATTGATATAAACATATTAAGCAACAAATTGACTATGAAATGTACTTAAATGTTTAAAATAATCCCATTAGACAAATTGTTACCACCTTTACAACATCGCCACATAAATTACAAATTGAAGTTGGAAGATACCATAATGTACCGAGGGAAGAAAGAATATGTGTCCATTGTTTATCTTTAAATCTTAATCGTAAACAAGACGATACAATTTCATTCATTGTAAAATAGTAAACCATTGTAAAATTTGGTAAATATTTAATACATTGTAAACAAATGATAAGTCCTCATGCTGCTCATCATATGGGGCGGTGGGGTAGCCTAATGGTTAAAGCGTTCGCTCGTCACGCCGAAGGCCCGGGTTCGATTCCACACATGGGTACATTGTATGAAGCCCATTTCTGGTGTCCCCCGGCGTGATATTGCTGGAATATTGCTAAAAGCGGCGTAAAACAAAACTCACTCACTCACTGCTTATCATGCCCATGTACATATTTGTACTCAATTTCAAGACGAGGAGCCAGCTGGTTCAAGACTTAATAAAGTCTATGTTCTGTTCTGTTCGGTAAAAGTAAAGGATATTATAAGACGCTTTATCCTGTTGTGCCTCAGTTCATTTATAATGTTTTTATGCAGTCATCTGAGATTCCGTTGAAGGTGATGTACTCCGATACTCCTGAAGTAGCCAACCTGGCTGGTATAGGTGTCGC